GGCAGCTGCCACCTCCCCACACAGCCCAGGGCTGTCTCCAGCCACCCCTCAGCAGCTGATCAGGGTGCTGAGGATGATGAGGACATTAACTGTGAGATTAGTAGCTTGTTAGTCCTAGCTACGTGCGGTACAAGGCAGCAGGAGCTGCCGGGTGTAGTTAACCTCCCTGTGTCTTGCTTGCAGGAAGATGCAGGCACAGAAGTGCCTTGGCCAGGCAGCGCTGCGCGGCCGGGGGCGCAGAGCTGGAGCAGAGGGACGCCACGCGAAGGCAGGGGATGGCCACCATCCGGCTGGTCCTTGCCCGCTGAGCACCGACCTAACCTGGCACAGGTCAGGTGTGAGCTCTTGCCCCATCTGCCCCCAGCTGCAGCTGATGCAGCCGGACAGGGGACCTCGGCGGCTGCTGGGGAGGGTGCCAAGCACTGGCTGCTGTCACATGGACCTTCAGAGCTTGGAAGAGAAATGGGTGTGTTTCATTCCTCCCTGGTGTGAGAGTTTTTACCTTAAATGGAAGGCTGACCAAGAGACAGCACCTAAGACCAAGTTATTTGGGCTGTAGCACTGGGGATGACTTTTCCCGTTAATGCCACTGCGTGGGTCACTGGTCCTACGGGGGGGAATTCAGAGAAGATGCAAGACTAACACTGATCTACATTTTGACCAGCTCTCCTGCAGCCTTTGTTTAGATCCATGTTCATGCTGCCCTTTTTGCTTTTCATGTGACCAGCCAGCGTAGCAGGCTCTGGTAGCTGCGGCAGCTGCTTGCACAGGGAGTGCTATTCCTTTCCCAGGTACTTCTTCTCCCCTGTCCTCATGCAGAGATTAAAATGTGAATCTTACCTCCCTCATGTGTTTGGCCTGCTTTGTTTCTCCTTTCCATTCTCTCGCACTATAACCAAGTAGATCAACTTCTGTCAGCACACTGAGATTCCCTGAATCGAGATTAATTCACAGATTAGTTACCTTCAGGCTGTTCTGCATCTAAAGGGTAGTTGTGGGGGGGCGGGGATTAATGAATATGGAATGACAACAAAAGGATTACTTATGAATTTTCTCTGAAGGTAGTTGCTCCACCTGAAATCCAAACGATAAAACAGCTGTCAGAGAGGAGCTGTCAAAGGTCAGTATCTACCGAAATAAGTAACAGCATGGAAGATCAAAGCCCGACTAATAAAAACCTACCGTTTCAGTAGTTGTGCTAAAAAGATGTATAGCCTTCTGCAATACCAAAAAACAGCAACGAGGAAAGACATGCTCAGCATTAGCTGCGCTTTCACTTTTTGCCACACGAGACACAGGGATTGCTTGGTGGCTGTTGTCCAGGACTGCACCTCATGCCTTTCTAAAACAGGGATAAAAAGAGAGAGGAAAAATTCTTGTCACTGTTTTGCAACACTTGTTTCTATTTGTTTTCTTACAAAGAGAAAAATCATGCAAGTGCAATACCACTCCAAATGAAACACAAAACATGAAATGTAAAAGGCAAGTATATTTTTATATACTTAATATATATAGTTTATATACTTAGTTTTTCAACTTTCTAGGGTTTTGGGTGCCCATGGTTCACATTTCCAAGCTTTCCTCCACACAGTGAAGGCTAGATATTTAGTTACAATGGAGTCACAGGAAAACTGATATCAAAGCAACTGTTCAAAAACAAAAAAAAAATATTTTTTTTTGCTTCCGGATGTACTGATCCAGAAACCTGTACTGTCATGACTTTGTCACTAAGTCTAGGGTTTAAAGACCAGGGGTTCCTGGGAGTTGTAGTCTACAAACAGGCCATATAAGGCAATATTAGCTGACTGAGCACCATACGACTGCCCGGGGAATTAAAGGAATGTTCCTGCCTGAATTTGGGTAAGTTTAGGGTCCATTTAAAACTCTGGAGAAAGCTCTTCCCTGGGGATTTGGTAGAAAGCTCAGGAGATCACCACAAAGGGGGTGTGCTCTCACTGTTCTGCACAGACGTAAACCAGGACGCGTTTCTATCGCTCTCTTGGCATTACAGGCAGGGTTAGGGAAAGTTTTGGTTATCTTTCATTGATAAGAAAACCTAGAATTGAGAGAGGGCCTGGAGACTGAATAGTTCACAAAGGCAGCATCTGCTCCCTAAGTGAGAAATTTATCCTCTGGCTGAAATTTGCGTATAGGAAATTCCCAGAGTTTATGATCAACAGCTGCTCTATTATTAACATATTTATTGATTTAGTATAAAACTTTAAGAGAACTCAACTTTTTCTAAAGGCATCCCCAGAGAAGGGTGAAAAGATCCTTCTCCCCGGAGTCCACAAAGGGAATTACTCACTCAGCATAGTTATATGTCAGTTGAACTTCTGCCCCTCCTGGCTTTCACAGGAAATCTAAGAGGGGCTTAAGTTTTCTGAGGAACTTAAGCCCTTGCACTGTGGACAACTACCCAGTCGAAGAGCTACATATGAATCCCAACCCTGGCAATGAGATAAACAACTACGCTTACATTTTTACAAGCACTGTTGCATATATACAGAGCACTGCTGATATTTGGCCTTTTCCAATATCCTGTTGTTTGAGGAAGTTTTATTACAGGATGTCAAACACAAGTTGTCCGGAGGCAAGACCTCATCTCCCCCATGAACAAAAGGCAGGTTAAGAGCTGTAAATGAAAAGGTGTTAATAAACTTTAAAGCAGTAATCGGAGGAGCTTTTGGGGTGCTAGTTCCCATTTACACAAAACCCGTATGCTGTGAACATACAAGGTGATGGACAGGTCCTCTGCCAGCTTCTACTCGTGTGCTGCACCAACGTGTGCTTATCTGGCACGACCCGGGGTTATGCCTGCACACGCCGAGTAGGAAAAAGCAAGATACGCATTCACGCACAAGCAAAAAGACCAAAAATCTGAAGCTACAGGAAACGTTTATTACTGATGCCAAGTAACAGACTTACATCAGCTGCAAGGTTTGAAAATGGCATAGCTCGTGGAAACACCGGGATGCTCCCGCTTACAGCACACACACACTCACTGCTGATGGACACCAGTAGGCACATTCTCAATAAGCACCCAAATTGCTACCTAGAGGACAACAACTGAAAACTAATAACAGATGACAGTCCTGGCAGAATCAAGCCACTGCAATTTGCTCTTTCTTCTTTAGGATAAAGGCATCAGCACTGAAAAAAACCTCAGTAGACTGTAAATAACCAAACCTTCTGCTAACTAGAATGAACCTGAAGGCTTACAAATGTTGTTCAGCCCATGGATCCGTGGGTATTTTGGATTTACACTGTGACACTGTTGTATGAAAACCAATGATGATTCAAATGACATTCATTAACAGCAATTTAAACATACGGTATTAAAAGGAAGATGCAGCAGACTTTCACTTCATTACTTAAAATGACTGTGTGGTCCCTCTTTTGATTTTGAACAAACTGGGACTAAAAAAAGTGAGAGCAGGTCCATCTGTTAAAATGACATGCTTTGCTTTATGGACTACCAGAAATACCTGTGAATGCAAAATTTCTTCCTTTACCCCTTTTACATGCAAAAAGGTGAGAGGTCTGCAGCAGCTTTAAGCTGAATCACGCAATCTTTTGAAAAAGCTTTTGATAGTATTAATTCTGAAAAAAACCTACTGGAGTCCAAAAACCACCCTTTCAAGGCATATGGTTAACAGGTGCATGAGCAACTGTTCTTCAAGGAGTGCTGGGAAGCACTGGCTTACTGATTTTAATCAAAACCACAAATTGATGTCAGAGAACATGAGACAACCAAATATTGTTCATCCATTTTTATTTAATATGGGGGACTTATAAGCAGGCATTTCCCTAAAAAAAAGCCTAATGGGAGATGGGAAAACCTGCAAACAAGTGATTTTGAGTATTTTTGCTACACTTGTATTACAGCATACCCTGGCCTTCATAAGCTTTCCCTCCTGTCACGGGTAAACTGCTGTTCAAATAGCACTTTGTGATTCAGTTACTACTTTCAGTGCTTATGTCACACTTAGAAATGTAATTACATTTTTATATTCAAGTAAATGACATTTAGAAGTGGCAGTTGGATCGCTAAGTGCTGCTGGTAAAAACACATCACGAACAAGACATGAATTAAAGAAGAGGGCAGTTTAAAATAGAACTTTCCACCCCCATCCTGCCCCCTCCAAAATTCTTCAGAAACCGAAGAGCGATTAAATTAATAGCACACTGGTGGAGGGAGTAAAAGAAACCCACAGATTTTTAAACCCGATTCATTCCCTGGGATACGGACACAATTCATCCTGTTCCTCAGGAAACAGTGACGAGCTGTCGGGGCTGTGACCAGCTGCCGGGCTCACATCTTTTTGAAGACTGACCACGAGCATCACCGTGAGGACAGGGAGGCCTCACTCTTCTCCCACACAGGAGAACGGAGCCCTGGGACTTCTAACACAGCTCCTAGCAGAAATGTTGATGAACAGAGGTTGAACAGCGCTGCAGGAGCTGATGGCAGTGTTTATCTTACAATGCAAGCAGTACACCATGTTTTCTTTTCATGCCACATCATCAACTTCCTGCTAGTGCCAAACCTTATGCTTTTACTCCCCCACAAAGTCAGCAGGAGACACATGCAGGAGGCGGTGGGAAAAAAAAAGAAAAAAAAAAAACAACAAAGGCGGCCAGAAAAAAGATGAGTAGGAGACATCTGCTTCTTTCGGAAGTAACTCAAGAAGAGTCTTTAAAGGATTAGCCCCACATTTGACTCCTTCACAACCTTTTTGGAGGCTGCCACCTTACAAATGCGTAACGGATGAAATGCAAAATGTAAGGGATCAGCTTGGGAACTAGCAGGCAGCACTGCATGCAGCGCTGAAGCACGATCCAATATTCCAGCACGTCTGATGGCACATTCACCCTTTTACTTTTTTCCTCCCTCCCTGTAACAAGGCCATCAGGTAGATAACAGAGCATCTTCCAAAATTAAAAGCTGACCATGTGACTTCTTTTCAGGGCATTCCTCTTCACAGTCTTTTTGGTACTGGAAGCAGGACACAGCACTTGTTACCAGAAAGTGGCCAAGTTTCATACTCCTGTCACCCAACACTATGTTCCTAGCTCCTGAAAAGCAGGTATCCCCTCCTTGAAAGAGGGCGACAGAACTTGGGATCCCTCTGTTCCAGCCCATCTGCTGCCCACCCGCACCCCTCCTGCTCCCTTCTCTCTTGGATCCAGAGCGAGGAAGAGACACCCCTCAACTGAGAGATGGAAGCCTTGGCATGGAGGTCCAAGTCTGCCTGCATTCAATGTGCGCCTGCAGAGCTCTCCTCACACTTGCACATGACTTTTTCCCAGTATCAGTACTGAGGTATGTCATAAAATAGGCTAAATCCCTCTTTTAAGGGAAAACAAGCAAACTTATCCTTATAGGGCAGGCATCAGCGTGATGCGCAGATGCACACATGCCTCAACTGACTGAGCCAAGGGGGAGACAGACAAAAAGCTATTAATTATACAAATTCAATACCTACAATAGATTACACCCCTTAACAGCTTAGAAGAGAGAAACATGCCTTTTTCAGTAGTGCCAAGTGATTACAAAGTCTTTGATTTCCCAGTTTATTAGCAGTGCCACACCAAAAAATGAAAAACTACTGAAAACAGAACAAACACATACCAAGATATGTGGGAAGCACTGCTTAATTCAATAACTATTTCATTACGAAACTCTTCCTTTACAGAGCAAAGCAATGTCAACTCCTTAAGCAAATCTTCTTCACCTGTTCTAACATAACAACTAGAGATGAGGATCTCTGCTTGGTATAACAAGTAAAAGAGAATCATTTACAGGCAAAGATGCTAATCGTCAGTGACTTATCAAAAGTTCAACCATGTCTGCTGATCAGATCTCAACTTCTGCTCCCAAAACACAACAAAACAGAATCCCAGCCCCAAACGGTAACTAGAATCATGCAATTACCTAAAAAATGGAATAGTTTCAGTAGCACTGAGGCCCATCATTTCCAACAAAGCCTTTATTTACACAGCTATCCTGTGTATGAGACCCTAGTGCTCTCTCAGCCCTTGTCGCCTTTCTGCAAAGATCTTTCAGGAAAAACAGAGTAGAAAGGCTGGTGGCCTTCTTTGAACTCCCTGATGGTCAACAGGACCTGAACTGCTGCTGTAAATGTATCTATCCAGTTGTGACACTTACTTATTCCGACTCTGCAGCAACAGGCGTAATGCATTCTTATCTACTGTGTGATTATCTAAAACATACCCTACTTACATAATCAAGAAATCAATGTATGTCCTAGCATGCACATACTATTTCCCTCTCTCCAAGTGCCTACAAGAACAAAAGCGAAGTTCAGTTC